TAATGTTATAACAGAGTTCAGAAATCCCTATCGGAGAATGGGACGTATCGGACGTAACCGGACGTATGGAACACAACAGCTTCCCGCATGCAACACGCGTATCTCACATCTCTTGTATACAAAGCGATTGTGCTGCCAGGCGTATAATGGTATAGTACACATATAACCTGTAATACGTGTGTCTTGATAGCTATAATAACTGCCTATGTTACTGCCTTACATATGTACTGTTCTGTACTTTGTATCATCATTTTAATGTGAACTCTCCCTACTTAGAAATAAAAAAGTTTACCATATAACAGTGTATGCTTCGACTGGTGGGCAGCAGCATCCAATCTCGTGTATCGCATGTCTCTTAGTTCTGTAGCGTTCTCTCTCTGTTTTCTTTCGAAAATATTACCATTGAAGTGCATCATGCCTCCCAAACAGAGCAAAACCAGTGCTAGTGATAGGAGCAGCAAGAGGCAAAGGGGAGTATTGATTAGAAGTGAAGCAAAAGGTTATTAAACAACAGGGAGGTATAAAACCAGTGAATGCTATTGCTCGTGATTTAGGAATGTCTCACTCACCAATCACAACCATCCTCAAAAACAAAGAAAAAATTCTTCAAGCTGTTAAAGGATCAGCTCCACTGAAAGCTACAAGGCTAATGAAAAAGCGGGAAGGACCTATATCAGATATGGAGAAATTGCTAATGACGTGGATTGAGGACCAAACACAAAAGCAAATCTGTCTCAGCAATTTGGCAATCACTGCTAAGGCATGAATCAAGTTTAGTGATAGCTCTGGGTGGTACAAGTGCTTCAAACCACGTTTTTCACGGCATAATGTGAAAGTGAGTGGTGAGTCTGCGAGTGCTGATGCGAAGGCAGCTCAAGAATTTGTTGAAACCGTACAGGGAGGTTATTTGCCCCAGCAAATTTTTAATGTGGATGAAACCTCCTTATTCTGGAAGCAAATGCCTGAAAGGACCTTCATTCATAAGGAGGCCAAGTCAGTGCCAGGCTTTAAGGCTTTTAAAGACAGTGACAGTGTTGTTAGGAGGCAGTGTTGTATATAACATGGTGTTTGCACAACATGCAAATCATATAACATCCTATTTCACAGAATGTATCTTGGACATTAAGTGACACATTGCTGTATACAGTCCATATGTCTGTTTACTTGTCTGCTTCTTCCTTTGGTCCAAGTGGTTTCCAAACCTGGCTACATATAAGTCACATGGGATCCCCCACTCTGGACCCACTGGGATTGGGTATTTTCACTAAGGCCAGGGAGTCTGTATTTTTATTAAGCTTGATTCTGAGGCACAACCAGGTTTGGGAACTCCTGCCCTATCTTTTTATTTCTGTTTCCCTACATATTGTCAGAGCCACAGTAGGCCTTCGATGTTTGACCCTTCTAGTTTCTCTCTGGCAACCTCTTGTTTTCGCTTCCTTCCCTTTCTAGCTTAGACAAACAATTTGCTTACCCCCCTGCCCTTCATGCAAAACCTTAACCAACTACTCACTTTTTCCATTCCTATGCCAGGCTGCTGCGAGCTGTTGGTGGGCCTCCCCAAAGATTGGTGCCATTATATATAATTCATAGACTCTAACTGCAACAAGACCCTGAATGTACTTGGCAATCCTTCTGACCCGGCCAGTTCTCTCCCATTCTCCACAGTGATTATTCCTGACCCCAACTTTTACCACTTCCTCCTGCCCCTCACCACAGGCAGCAGACCAACTTGCCTTCCACTTCACAGAGAAAACAGAAGCCATCAGATGGGAACTCCCTCAACTTCCTGCCACCTCACCTACACACTTACCCACATCAGCACTGTGTTCACCTCCCTCCCTCCCTTCTAAGACTAATCACTCCAACTGGGCTCTGGATCCCATCCCCTCCCACTTCCTCAGGGACCTGATACCCTCAATTATCCCCCCTCTCTCTTTGACCTCTCCCTGCTGATGTTTTTCCATCAGCATTAAACTTGAGTCCTCCCATCTTAAAAAAGAAAAAATCCCCCTTGGCTGTGTGTCCTCCTTTAGCTGTCACCCTCTTTGTCCCTCATTTTTGCCTCCCCTTCCCGTTGAGCTTCTTGAAAATGTTGCCTACATATGGCCCTGCTTTTTCACTTTCCTCTCCCTCTTCCTCCCATAGCAGTCTGGCTCCTGCCTCCACTAAACCACTGAGACTGCTGCTTTTACGAAAAGGTCACCAACAATGTCCTTGATAAGATTCAAAGGTCTTCTCCAATCCTCATCTCACCTACTTGCTTGGCTGCACTAGATACTGCTGTTTGCAGCCTCCTTCATAAAATGCCCTTTCCCTTTGGTTTCCTCGATGCCACACCTGGTTTTCCTGCTTTCTGATGACTTCCTGCCAGTTGCTTTCCTGGACTTTTCTTCCTCCGGCAGTTCCTTACATGCTAGGGTTCAGGGATCCCCTCATTGGTACGATTCTCTTCTCACTCTGTGGGCTCTCTCCCTGGGCAATTCCATCCACACCCCCCCTTGCTTTAATGAGCATCTCTAGGCTGGTGAGTCCCAAATCTAACTCCAGCCCAGCTCATTCTCCTGAGCTCTAGACCCATAGAGCCACATGCCCTTGAACCTGCTCTTCTCTGTATCCCTACATCAGTGGATGGTACCACCAGTCCCTCACCTTCTGACCCAAGAAACCTGAGTGTCCCTCTGAGTTCTCCTACCAGTTACCAAGTCCTGTATATGATACTTCTTGAGTTACTCTCAAACCAAATTCATCCTTTTCTCTTCACATCTTTAAAAATTTTGTTGTTGAGACTATACACAGCAAAGCATACACTACTTAAGCAGTTTTTACATGTACCATTTAGTGACACTGATTACATTCTTTGAGTTGTGCAACCATTCTCACCCTCTGTCTTAGGCTGGGTTCTCTAGAGAAGCAAACCCAATAAAGCATATAAATATATATATACAGAGAGATTTATATCAAGGAAATGGCTCACGTGGTTGTAGAGGCTGGACAGTCCCAAGTCTGTGGGTCAGACTGGAGGCTTCTCCTGGCTCACAGGCTGCAGAGCCAATGAATCCCAAGATCAGCAGGCAAGATGGCAGGTAAGCTGCTAGCTCAAGTTCCAAGAACTGGAGGTCAGGCAAACAGGAACCAGCTACAGGATCCAGAGCAAGCAAAAGCCTGCAAGCCATGCCAGAAAGTCCACCTGTACTGGATGCAGGCAACACCCTCAAGGAAACTCCCTTTCAATTAACTACTCACAGCAGATCCCATCATGGAGATGGTCACATTGTATCAAGTCTCATCATGGAGGTGATCACATCATTGTATGACTGCCAAACCACATCATAACTGCCAAACTACTAAGAATCATGGCCCAGCCAAGTTGACACACAACCTTAACGATCACACCCACCTTTTCTGAGTTGTTCCTTCCCCATTAATATAATTTCACTGCCCGCTAAGGTTCCTATCTCATCTTTTAAGTTGCTGTTGTCAATTTGATCCCATCTAGAAAGTTCTTAAAAGAGCATAATGCTCAAGGCAAACATTTTTACTAGTTAAGCTAAACTACTGTTTGATTTTAAGAAGACTTCAGGGGATATTTATGGTTTAAGGTTTAAAGATTATCTCAGGGCAATAGTTTCAGGGGTTCATCCAAACTTCACAGCTCCAGGAAGTCTGGATTTCATGAGAATTTGAAATTCTGTTCTGCACTTCCCCCTCTTTGATCAGGATTCTTCTATAGAATCTTCGATCAAAATGTTTAGTAATGGTAATCAGGCATCATCCAGTTCTTCTGGTCTTATGGCAAAAGACGCAGTTGTTCATGGAGGCAATTAGCCACACATTCCATATCCTCCTTCTATTCCTGATGTTCCTTCTTCCTCTGTTGCTCCAGGTGAACAGAGATCAATTGTTGTACCCTGGATGGCTGCTTATAAGTTTTTAAGACCCCAGGCACTATGCAATGAACTAGAATGTAGAACAGAAGAACAAGTTATTAGACCAATTAACTGGGATGTCCCATGAAACCATGACCCTAAACCTCCAGACCAAGAAACCAAATCACATGAGGATTTTTGTTGTACATAAGGAGCCTCAGCAGCTACTCTTTTTTTTTTGTCATTGTTGTAAATATGTCTATCACACAATTTTTGCCAATTCAACTTTTTACAGGTATACAACTTATTGACAGCAATTACAATATTCAGCTGTGCAACCCTTCCTTTAATCCATGTGATATTTCCAACACCACTAACACCCTCTTTCCCCCTCCCTCCTGCCGCTGGTAACCACTAATAAACTTTGTACTCTATACATTCGTCTTTTGTCTTTTTGTATAAGTGAGGTCATACAATATTTGTCCTTTTGTGATTGACTTATTTCACTCAGCATGTCTTCCAGTTCCGTCCATATTGTAGCATGTACAAAGACTTCATTTTTCCTACTGACTGATAAGTATTCCATTTGTTGTATATACCTCATTTTGTTTATCCATTTATCTGTTAATGGGCATTTAGGTTGTTTTCACCTTTTAGCTATTGTGAATAGTGCTGTGATGAACATTGGTGTACAAGTCTCTGTTGGATTTCTGCTTTCAAGTATTTTGGGTATATACCTAGGAGCGGAATTGCTGGGTCATATGGTAGTTCTATTTTTAGTTTCTTGAGGAAATGCCACACTGTTTTCCACAATGGCTGTACCATTTTGCACTCTCACAAGCAACGGGTAAGGTTCCAATTTCCCCATCTCCTCGCCAAAATTTGTTATTTTCAGTTTTTTAAATCTTAGCCATCCTAGTGGGAGTGAAATGGGGTATCATTGTAGTTTTGATTTGCATTTCTCTCATAGCTAATGATGTTGAGCATCTTCTCATGTGTTTGGTAACCATCTGAATGTCCTCTTTGGTGAAATGTCTGCTCAAGTCCTTTACCCATTTTATGATTGGGTTGTCTTTTTGCTGTTAAGTTGTCAAAGTTTTATATATATTTTGGTTATTAGATTCTTGTTGGATATATGGTTTCTGAAGATTCTCCCAGTTGGTAGCTTGTCCTTCTGGAATTCCCATGATATGTTTATTAGGTCTCTTGTTGTCCTGTAATTCCATTAAACTATGCTCAGCCTTCTCTTCACATATTTACTTCAGGTTGCCATAATCTCTCAATTGGCATACCACCATAACTTCCTAAGGGATCTGGAGCTTACCGCCATCAATTCTCCATTTCCAGCCACTAAATTTTCTGAAGTGAAACCAGATCTTGTCATTCCCAAACTCTAAACCCTTTAATGGTTTCCCACTATCCTCAGGCTGAAATTCAAATTCCTTAGAATGAAACACAAAGGCCATCATGACCTGGCCTGTTTTTATCCTCTGTCTCATCTCTTGCACTTCTTTCTATGAACCAGCCACAACAAACCACTTGCAGTCCCACAAAAGCAGAATGCCCTTTCTCATCCTTGGCCCTTGCTTATTTCATTCCCTCCACCTGGAGAGTCCTTCCTTTCCACCCCATCTACTTGTCCTTCAGGTCTCAGCCTAAACATCACCCTTCCAGGAAGCCTTCTCTGCCCTCTTGTCTCTGCTATGGGATTTTATAGCACCTTCTGTTTTCCTACATCAGAACAGTTTTTACACTATACTAAAGTTACTTTTTTGTCTCTCCTAATATAAACTCCTTGAGGGTGGTGACTGTGTCTTGTTTCACAGCATATCCCCAGCAGCTAGCAGATATCAGGCACATAGTAACTGCTCAGTAAATGTTTGCTGAGTGAATAAAAGTCATTTGGAAAGGAATTTCCCCTCTATTTTCGGTGGTAATAAATAGTATGTTGTTTAATTACCCGCTTTAAAGAGCTTATAGTGTAAAAACTAAATAAGCTTATTCTGGAAACTAACTCCTCTAGGGAAACTTGACAGTCTGTGGGGGAAATTAAAGTCTCTGGCAAGGTCATGGATGCTGACTCATGGCACTCCTACTGGCACCACTTGTGAAGGAGCTCATGAGGAGGGCAGGGAGCCATTAGCATCATTCACCTTGGCTCCTCACATGATGGGATCACACAAGGCATGGCTGCTTTGGCAGTTTCCATTTGTCCTTCAGCTTCTTTCCACCTGTCAGTGTAGCATTACAGAAAGAGCTCTGGGCTGAGATCTGGGTTAGTCTTGGCTCTACCCCCGAACTATCTCCATTACCTTAGGCATTACTCCACTATGAAAATGGCTAGCACAGCTCCTGAAATAGGGTAAACATACAACAAATTCATATATTCATTCACTCAACAAATGTTATACACATACTGTGTGCCAGGCAGTGTTCTAGGAACTGAGGATACAGCAGTGAATGGAGCAGACAAGGTCCCGAGGGAGAACTAGATCATCTCTTGAACTCTGAAATTCTGACTCCCTCCTTGACCAGATGCAGATAAATGGGGCAGGCTAGTGGCAAAGCATCACGCTCTAATGTCCTTCTCCTGTATTCTGTCTCCCTTAGTGCCATCTCCATCCCAAACTCAGTGCTGGAAGCTTGTCTTTCCTATCAAAACAGGTAAAGATCTGATATTATTTACTCTGCCTGCAACCCAAGATTTAATTCCTCAAGTATCTGTTCTTTAAGCCTTTTATCTCCAATTGAGGAATAAAAGGCTTTGTTTTGTTTGAAACTTCAGGTAACTACAAGGAGACCTGGCAAGATATTTTAGGCAAAGTTAGGTGTTTTGGCAAACAGACAGGGAAAGGCTGAGTGGCCTTCTCCTCATCTAAAGTGTAGTCCCTCTTAGGTTTACCCTCTCAGGTCCTTGGGCAGGTTCCTTCTGGATGACGGGCATCTCCTAGTCCTATCTTCTTTCCTTTACCTCTGACTTAGCCTAAAGGTCTAGAGTTTCTACTGCTATAAGCCCTTCAGTATCTGGTGTTCTGAATGGGAGCAGGGGATGCAAGGACTCCCAACCATGTGGGGGAAGGGAAATCAGAGGCGCTAAGTAAATGGGCAGAGCAAAATGAGAGAGGTCCTAGGGTCCACAGCGTGATTTAGAGTTCCAGACCACTGTCATTTCAGGTGTCAGGTGTCGGACAGCACTAAAAAATAACACACTGAAGTATATCAGTGAAAACTCTAGACTTTAATGCCGATGCGGATTTGAACTGCCGACCTTCTTGTTAGCAGCCATCCCTTTTAACCACTATGCCACCAAGGTTTCCCTGTATAATCAGATGTGAAGTCAAAAAGTAAAAATTTTGACTATGTAAAATAAAGGCAGCTATTTTAGTTTACTATTTATGTCTCATTACCATGACACAAAACAATAATATGGAATTAAATATCAGGTTCACATGAAAATTCATTATTATAAACCAACTCTGCCTTCAGATTTCATAGTAAAGATTTGAAAGGCCCAGCTCCCTTGCTTATTAACTATAATCTTGATTAAGTGGCTTATCTCCTCTGTTCCTCAACTGTAAAATAATACTTGTCTATCTCACAGGGTTGGTGTGAAGATCAAGGATAACACTGTGAAAATGCTTTGGAAATAGCAGTGTTTTATGCACAGAAGGCATCATTAGCTCTCTTAGAATGGCCATCTGCAGAGTCCTGCTCATCAGCTGCCATCTATTCTCTTGCCCTCCTCGTCACTCAGGTGTCCCCAGAGAAAGAACCGCTTCCCAAAGCAACTAACTACATTCTTCCCAAACCAAATCTTAAAAGGACATGTAGAAACTAGCATATAGTTAATTCCCATCAGTTCCCAAAGGAAGACACTGTTCCTTCATTATGCTTCAGACGCTTTATCACCAAGCACTGCGAGTAGGAAGGGAGGGTAGTGACAAGGCTTATTTCTTCCCGACAGTTGACTTGTTTTATCATCCAAAAAAAAGTTTGAGGATTTTTCTTTGTACAAGACACTGGGTTGGGTTCAGTGGGTTGCAGCAGTGCATCTAGAAGAATCTAAGCTTTGGAGTCTGGCAGACTTGAGTTTAAATTCAGATTTGGCCACTTATTTAGTTGGGGGGGCCTTGGCAAGTAACAGTTACTCTGAACTTCAAGTTCCTCTTCTGTCTTAGGGGGTATTACACATCTTGCAGTGTTATTGGAAAGGTGCAGGGAGCGAGGTACCATCTTCAAAGAATAATGAGGGTCTTGTTACTCAAATAGACTCAAATAACAGCTGAATGATCATTGTGAAAAGTATTTCAGAAAAGACTTCTGTTCAACCCTAAAATCTCTTCCATTTCTAAGGTCATATAAAAATAAATATCCAACTTAAAGAGAAAAAATTCTATAGGCTCAAATACTAGAAGGTAAAGATGAGCTAACACTGTCTGTGCTGCAGCTATGCAATGAAACAAGAGAAAGGCAGCAGCAGCTGCTTCTAAACTGTCACTGAAAGTCTAATTTAAAGGTTTATTGCAGTTCAGGTATTTTTAATTTTTCCTTTGGTAATCATCAAGATGTTTGCTGTTAAAAAGTACAATGTTAGGAAACTCAATTGCTTTCAAATATGCAACTTGTTTGTTTTGGTTGAGAAACATTAATATGAAAATAGGTGAGTTTTTGGGCTGGTACTTCTTGTGCTCTGATTTGCTTTAGAGACAAGAATAGTGGGTTGAATCATCAATTAGGATCTCTTCCAAATTCCAAGATTTTCCTGAATGAGCTATGTGACCATGAGCAGGTTTTTAACCTTACTGTGCTCCAACTGATTTCTTACTTACTGAATGAGGTCACCACCTCCCTGTCAGGTAGTACACGATAAATATTTTGACTTCTGAGATTAAGGCCAATTGTTCTGGGATTATATATATTTCTAACTAAGCAACTCTAAGGAGGTCAGGTGCAAGTTATTAATGAAGAGAAAGGCAAAATGTTGTCTAAGCCAAAACCTGCATACAATCTAATACATGATTCTCATAATTGTGCAGTGTGGGACCCTGGGGTCCCCATGAGGGAGAACAAAGTACACATGCTCAGCCTTCCATGTTTTTTCCTATCATGGTATAAAAATATACTCAAATATTGGTAAGAGAAATTCATATACTTCTGTAAAGACAAATATCCAAGCTACCATTTAGGATAGTTTTTAGATTCCTTTATTGTAAAAAGCAATTTGATCTCTTCCTCCATCCAAATCCCTGAGACTCTGAAAGGACAAAGAAATCAATTTGGAGCTCTTTCAAAGGATTTATTTGCTACAGAATTGCTTGTATCCACCAACAAGATGAACTCAGGATTTCTGTGTTTAAAAGGGTTTTTGCTCACTGCTTTATTCTTACAGTGCTCCAATATTCAAAAAGCAATTCATTCTGCCAGCATTTGGCATGTCAGAAAAAGCTAGAATCTATAGAATTAGATGTCTAAAAATAAAACAAGAAGAAGGAAAAAAAGAACATTTTAAAATTCCTCATTTGGACAGGTCCTGAGGTGAAATCATATTCATCTGCAAAAAGAACTGTTTTAGGTCAGAAATACTATATTTTATAACTACAGATCCTGACCCTGGACTTGACTAGTGAGGATTTTCAGGCACTGGATAGATGACAGGACAGATGCCATTCAGATAGCCAATTCTGGCATGTGGCCTACCTGGCTTGTGAAGTTTTATAAATATCTCTTAAACCCAAACTTCCTGATTCTCTGAAACTGACTATCTTAATCTGATTTCCAATACTTTTTAAAACAAATAAACAAAAACTTTCCCTGCGAGATCACACATTTAAGTATTTGTTGCTTGTAGACAGATACAGATAAACCAACTACGGACGTGAACAAACAATTCAGCAATGTAGCTGTGACTCTCTGGATGGCTATGGAAACTGTAGGAAAAGTTCCTTGCCAGCTCTGCACTTGCTGTGCTCCAGAGGCAATGTTAACCTTAAGAAGGTGTGAACCCCAGCAGCTGCTCGATGGGTTTAAACCGCCACTCATCCGCCTCCAGCTCTTCCACCAAACCAGCTAGTTTTTCCATCCGAGCAACTTGCTGATCTATAAAGAGTCAAGGAGGTAATATGTAACACAACAATGTATTTCCCATGAGACTGTCACCAACCAACATGATGACTGGTTTAAAAAATAATTTCTAGAAGGATTTTTCCTCAATATTCTAGGAATTGGGTCTTATTCTACATTAGTTTCTATGTTAGAAGACTTAAATCTTTGGGAAAAAAAAAGGAACATTCCCAATTACTTCCCGTTTACCTTCGCTGCTTTTGACTACACAACTAAAGCCTTCCAGATTAAAATAAACATCTACCTGATCACTTTCATTTTGTAAGAACCCCATCGCCCTTCTTCAGTTACATCATAGCAGCCTCAATGACCAGCTTTCTTTATAAAGGGCAACTTCTGTGCTCTATTCTTACAAAAAAAAAAAAAGCACTCATCCTCCAAGCCATGGCGATTTGTGTACTAAAATCCTAGGGTTAGAGGCAGTTGCAGCTCCCCTCGTCCCCCCCCCCCCCCACCCGCATAATGCTTTCCATGGCGAAATGGTCTGGTAGGGGAACACAGTTCCCTGAGGCATAAATGAAGTCCTAACGAGACATGATGGAACAGAAAAGACAATACCAGGATCTTGAGAGTCCAGACAGACTGTGAGGTATTACATAAATACTTGAAGATGATGATGATAACCAGTGGAAGACACCAGCAAAAGGTCTCAGAAAGGAGAGGAAAAAAGCAACACAACTCCCTTAGAAAACTAACCCTCTTCATTTCAACTTTAAGCCTCAATGCAGATATTATGTCTGGATTAAGACCTTAGAATGTTCTTGCCTGTAGGTAATTGAAGAAGTCTACTTAAATAGCCTTGCTGAGTTTTGGTGGTTTTTGTCATAGAACACACTGATCTTTCTGAGGCCCCACTCTTACTCCCCAGTAAATTTATTCTCACAGTCAAGTACACAACATTCGTGTGCTCACCATGTTTCACCTGTTTAAGTGTGGATGCCACTTGATAGCTGAAAACGGATTCGCAGAGGAATCTCTCAGAGCCATCTACAAACAAAAAAGGAAAAGGTTTTAATCTGCTCTAAGGATTTTCTGGCTTCTGATAAACCAAGTAAACGTGTCTATTCTTTTCCCTGCTTTTACATTCAGGGTCTAGTTTTCAGTATTTACAAAGAGGGTTTCTGTTTCATTTCATTTAGAACTAATACTGCTCTGTTATAAAAGCTATTTCTTCTATACCTAGAATATTAAAATAGTTCCTCTACTTGCTTAAGAGTTTAAAAATAGTGCTTAAAAAAACAAAAACAAGAAACCTCAATCTGATGTCCTGGTCAACATGTCCCCCCCCCACAACCTGACCGTTTCTGAATGTTCTCCTATTTTGTACATCAGGCAAACACTGACAGCTGACACATTTGGCCACGTGGTCCTTGTGCTATCAAAATACAAAAGTACACCGAAACTCTAAATCAGTTCATTCTAAAAAACAGCTGCTGTTGATTTTTAATATACCAAATTACATCACTATGACCATCACAAAACACTGTTGGGAAATTTCATTCTGTAAACGCAAATTGTAACCTTGATTTTCTAACTGAACCAAAACACTGCAATCTGGATAGTGATAAGAGTATGGTGCAATTTCAGAACCTAGCATCGTGCTGGTGCCAAGAACTGCCAAGAAGAAAGTGGCTGACTCGGTCACCAGAGCACTTGGAAGATGACTGTGAAATATAAGCTAGTTCATGTTATTCCTTGTCACGCAAGGGCTGATCAGCAAAACATACCCCTAAAGATATACAGCTCATGTAGTGAGGAATGATTTTTAAAAGCGTAGCAGAAAAAATTTGGGGCAGGTATCCTACTGTGAATCCTGATAGAAATGAAGGGAGAAGATTCAGCTGTCTTTTTTTAGAGAGTTCATGCAGCACTACTGGGGGTCAAGGTTAGTGTGTTGGACACGTATTAAGTGACAAGGAGAGAAGACCAATATATTGAGTTCATGCTGAGTTTCACACAAGAGGAAAAGGTTTCAATCTGCTCTAAGGATTTTATGGCTTCTGATAAACCAAGTAAACATGTTGATCGTTCTTCCTGCTTTTCAGAAGTCATGGTAGCCAATAAGATATTGTACAGACATTGTATACAAACAGCTTGACTACACAAGGAAGGGGGCTTCTTCCAGTATTATCCTCAAAACTGATACAAAAAAAAATTATAATTATTGGGATGTAAACTTTAGGGAGAGCATTACATTCTTTAAATTCAACCTCTTTCTACATATTGTGAAATGTATTAGATATGATCCTATGCCCTCCACCTATCCCTATTCCTCTGGCTAAATATAGATCATTTGTGAGCAGATCATTTAAAGTGAGCAAAAACATATTTTTATTTTCAATTAACTGAATATTACACTGACTGACCGGTTTAAAGATCTAGGCAAGCTAATGATATCACTGAGTGTTTTTTAGATAAAGGCAATAGCAGCAAACAACTATAAGCACATTACAGGGAGAACGACTGCTGTGAACATTTGATACCAATTATACAATTTATTATAGATCTTCTCTGTAAATGATATGCCAGAACTCATTATCCTATTCATACCCTTGCTTAAATGGTCTAACTCAAGCCTTGTTTTAGGGAGAGCAAAACAGAAGAGAATTAGAGCTCACCTCCCAGGTGGTTTGATCCTGAACTTTAGGATCTTACACAAGGCAATGGGATGATCGGCTATAAGGATGAGGCCAAGATATACATGGAAGCTCTTGGAAGTGCTACCTCCCACTTACATTTAGTCACAGGAGCTATTAGGATAAAATGCTTAAGTGATGGTATCTGCATATTTTCCTCGGTAATGAACTTCAAAGCAAAAGGACTGTAAGCTAATCTTTCAAAGAGACACCTGCATATCACTTCACCGCTCTACACGCCTATGGAACACAACTTTGCTGATCTGCAACTGTGTGTTAACCACAAAGTCCACTGCTTCTTAGCTACATCCTATTAGATGTGATATCTGTACCAACCTAAAGTCTGGAATTCCTCCAGAGAGGAGTTAGCATGGGGCAATCTGTCTTCCATTTAGAAACTGTAATCAGGACCTCTGTAACACACCAAGTAGCAATACATTAGCTTTCCTCTTAAGGGACAAGCAAAGGTTGTGAATAGTGAAAAGTTCAGTAAACTGTCTAATACCATCACCAACTCAAATAAATAGGATGCTAACAAACTCATTTAAAAGAATATTACCTCACAGCAGGGAATTAGACAATGCCAGATAATTTCTACTTCAGTGGCCTACAATGTCACTAAAATATAGCCACTTCTAGGCTGGAAGGCAATCTCTAATTTGCTCACTAATAACTGGGTGAGGACAATCTTAGCAGAGGGCAGGACAATGAGGGAAACTGCTGTATACTGCTTATGTGAAGTGTCTGTTATCAGAAAGCAGATATGTTGCACCAGAAAGTTAACTCACAAGGTTAACTACAGGTTATTTGGGTTTATTATCCCAGGCTTAGGAGGATGGCAAAATCAAGTTGAACCTGTTATGATTATAAACTGCATTTCCAACCTTGAATTCATTTTTGTTCCTTGCTCTGAACAGGCAACCCTTCCTGTTCTATTTTCATATTCTATTAAACAATTGTAAGAAAAATGGTTAGGGATAGGTGCATCAGATGAATAGTATAACAGTACCACCTACAAACATGGTAAAAAATGCTTCCAAATCTAACATTCATATTCACTCACATTTAGGAGTTCTCTTTTCAACTTAATATTCTTGATTTGACGAAGATAGCTCAGGGGTTGCAATATCTATATTATTTTTCATAGTCTGTCTTTTAAGGGTAAGCAGCTTTAAGTTACAGGTGAAACTTTAACCTAAGGAAGTGAATAATCAAAACTGCACTGTGAATTTAGACTTAATATAAATTCATCCTACAATAGAAACCCAACATATTTCTTCATGAAGCACACTGAGATGGAATAAAAATGGATAGATCTATAACTTGTTAGAACATCAACATTCAGATTAATCTCAGAAGAATTACTTCTTCACTGTCTTCAGGTACTCTGGTGTACACTGACAAAGAATGCTGATTGTTTTGAGACTATGGAGGTACCTCCTATATTAAATTCCTCCTATAGCTAGAATTTAAAGGACTTTAATCTCAGAGCTCCATTGTTAAACACTGATTCCTCTTCTGCTACTATAAAACTCATTAAACAATTTAAGGTAGTACCTCCAACTTGCAATTTGTTTTGTGGGAACTTATTTAATACCAGGTCTCTGCTGCATATAACTGAAGTCATACTTTTAGTGCCAAATATAGTAAACAAGGCCCCAACTGTTTGGTGCCTCCAGATTCAGTGATCCTGACTCAGGTACTTAGTTAATACAATTGAAGAAAATGAAAAGGCAAAGGCAGAAGTACATACACCTCAGATGTTTCTTATTATGCTACCTGGTCATCTACTTCAATACTAATAGTGACCCAAACCAATCCTAGAGAGCCTTACGGTCCCAGAATCTTGTTTTCTTGTCACAAATGATTCTTCTTTTTGCCTTGGCTTAACCCAAAACTCTGCTTATTATACCTGATATAAGTGAACTAAGATCATCCTAAAACACCCATTCCCAACCATAGTTTATACCTTTTTCATACACCTTTTCAGATTAATTTTTAAACTTGCAATATTTAAAGCAAAAAAGACCAACATATAATTAAGCACAAAGGTGCCAGAATCAAGTTGATTTAGGTTCTTTGCCAATGTTCTCAAAGTATGATGAGAGGACCATTTCCATGAGAATCCCCTGAATTTTTGTCAAAAATGAAGACTCTTGGGTTGTACCCTAGACTCATTTAGAATCTCTAGGGTTGGCCTAGAAACATGTATTTTAAATAAGATCTTCAGGTGATTCTTATGCTCTCTATTAAGAATTACTGGTCTAGCTCCTAGAGTGACCTCCCAGGGCCTGGATCTAATGAATACCAAGAAAAAAACTAGCAGCAATTTTTAGTTGTTGTTGTTCTAATCACTGCCTCTTAGTTCATTAGTTCAGTTGGTTTCATCACAGTATACATGAGTCTTATGAGGTCTAGACACCAATGCTGTTTCATGCATACAGCCTGTAACCTGATCTTGCCCAGCCAGCCTGCAAATGTGTGCCAAGTAAGAGTGTGAACGCTTTGATGTAAATCCAGCTCCAATGACAGAAAAACCACACAGCCTGTCTGCAGTGCGCCAGAGGTCATCTTTACGTATAAAGCCAGCATATTAGTTTTCATTTTCTCTTAGAACCTTTCTATAAATTATATTAGTAAAAAATACACCAACCCTACTGACCATAGAGAGGCAAACCGATGCCAGAATAAAGCAAAATGGAGCAGGTCAAGAGACTCTCTGGTTCCACTGCTGACTTTGCTTTTAACATGGTCAAATAACTGAACTTCTCTGTCTCTAAATAGCTCTAGATGACCTCCTTGACTTCCAATGTCTTTTTAGCTCCAAAATTCTGATTCTGGAGAAATACATGTAAGTGCTTTAAAGGTATTATTTTGAGATGGGGACAAGATATGAAATGTGGAGCTGAAATCAGGGCAAACTTGTCTCTAATCCACTTAATAGCTTCTTAACAATTAATATTCATTGCAGGTCTGAATCCAATTATTCAGCAAAAAGCAGCATGAGATCACCTTCTAACATTTCTCCAGCTCCTTTGGGGTAGGTGAAAAGGGCTTTCCGTGGTGGGGCAAGGTCTGAGACACTGAAACCAGATCCAGTGACAGAACTTCCACTGACCCCGCCAGCTGAGGAGGATGATGAAGAGGCAGCCATTTCCTTTCTAGCAGAATTCTCACTTCACTACAGAGAAAGAAAAACAGCAATTGGCAAGTTTATGGAAGTGAGATTGGCAACATTTCACTCTAGCTGTCATAAGGGCCAGCATACAGTTTTTTAGAGAATTAGCTGCCCCTTTTTCCACGCTCTCTACTTCCACAACCTTTTATTGATATTCCAGGGTCAAAATGTCATTCAGGTTTTTAAGTGAAAATATGTTTAATAATTGTCTACTTAAAACACTACTTCCTACCATTAGCAAACTGTTTATGTCATGCTTGGGATTGACTGTGGGTAATTTATGGGCCATGAAGGGGTGATATGGCAGTACCAAGGCAGCAATTTTACTAAGGAAAGAAATTACATGAAGATAAAACAACCAAGGTCCATGGCAATTTGTCTTGGATACATCCTGACCAAGCCACACCAAAAAATTTACTTCTAAAAATTTCCAAATAAAATTCCAGAAAAACACTGTGTTCTGTTCGCAAAGAAGGGGAACTGGTTAGGAAACACTGGCCTTTCTATTGAAAAGAAAAAAAAATTTAACCTTTTCTTCCAAATGTAATACCCAAATTTATCACTTGGTGGCGTCCTAAAACTGTAACAAAAAGCTCAAGAAATGGATCTTGGAAATCATGGCCTGTTACGAATAGAGAAGCCCTGGTGGTGAAGTGGTTAAGCATTGAGCTGCTAACCAAAAGGCTAGCAGTTCAAGTTCACCAGCTGCTCCTTGGAAACCCTATGGGGCAGTTCTACCCTGTCCTATAGGGTCACTATGAGTCGGAATCGACTTGATGGCAACAGTTTTATTATTAATAGAGCAGCTATGAGTGTTTAATCCTACATCATACAAAAAAATCAAAAAGCCCAAATGTAAATGGAATCATTTGTAAATATACGACTCCTTACAAAAGTTCAAGGTACTCTCTTTGCCACAGAAGCTTATAACACACATTAACAAGAGATTATCAAGTGTGTTACGTAAAAAGAATGGTCCAGTACCGTGTTGTCTAATAGAACTTTCGGTCATAACGGAAATGTTCTAATGTCCTATTTCTGCACTTTCCAATATGGTAGCTACTTGGTTCATGTGGCTACTGAGCTAGTGTGACTAAAGAACTGTATTTTAAATTTTATGTAATGCTCATTAATTTCAATTTAAATAGCCACATGTGGCTGGTGGTTACTGTATGGAATATTGCAAGCTTAGTATTTAGATTAAAAAATGACTTTACACTGACTTATACACTTTTAATGGTTAAGTTTATGTTATGTGAAGTTTACCTCAATAAAAAAAAAAATAAAGAAGACTTTAAAAGGATTTTTAAATTGAATTTCCCTCTTAATGGCCAGAATTTTAGCTGAATATTTTTCATTAATTTTTCTGTAAGTTGCAAAAATGAACACATTTGTTATAAAAAGCTGAAACTTATTTTTGGAAAAATAGAAGATCTGAGGGAATGCTATGCAGATATAAATCTTATATATACAGAATCCAGTTTCCTTGCAAGGAAGATGATATACTATGCATTACTAAAACACTGTTCTATTTCCTTAATTTTGTGATGATGATTTAAGGCAGTCAGAGAAGTAGAGCTTGGTTTCTGATTTCATTATATTACTAATACTGAATGAGAGTAGGATATGGGAACAGTAAAGAACAGTAAGGCAAATGCTATAATTAGACTGTCAGCCTATTAAAAATGCAAATTGATTAATGACATTTTCAATCTTACCATTAGATCACATTTCCTTTTTCCTCTAAGTTCTGATAACTTTCTAAATTGTATTCATATCCATAGATTCATTATCTAATCCTTTGGACCACACTGGGTCAAAATATGGAGCCCCAGTAGTGCAGTGGTTAAGAACTCGGCTGCTAACCAAAAGGTCAGCTGTTCGAATCCACCAGCTGCTCATTGGAAACCCTATGGGGCAGTTCTCTGTCCTATAGGGTCGCTATGAATCGGAATCTACTTGATGGCAACAGGTTTTGGGTCAAAATACAGCTTGACAAGTTTTTTAAATGCTCTTTAAAGAGAATTTAAGCTGCAACGGACAAGGTACAAATCTCTGAGTGGACCCCTGGTGGGATTCAAATAAAAATATCAGACGATTTAGCCATCTTTTGGAGAGTAGCTCAGAGTCTTTTATTTTCCATCAGTTCACGTGAGACTTACTGTGAATTGTTTATACATCTCACCTAAGACTTAGAACTCTTTAACCTTTTTCTTACACCCTGATGAATGCTTGATTCAATTGCAAATGCAAAAGATACTTTAAATTTTGAGATCAGTAGCTCAGCAGAACACCCAAGCAACTGCCAGCATGAGGACAGCTTCAAAAGCCAGCCACCGTGGGGCTTCTACACTGAATATAATCAAAGGGATTCCCTTTCATCCTATTTTCTTTCAAACTCTCAGAACTACCATCATTCAAGATGCAGAACATCCAGGGTAGAAAACTGCAGTACAGAATTAGAACAACGCTAACTTTAACTTTCTGCTGAGGTGGAAAGATACACCTAAGTAATTTCTAGCTCTGAAGATTGTTTTTTTTTTTTTTAATTTCACTTATTTATTTTGCTGTTGACAATATATACAGCAAAACATACGATATAGGTTAAATTATGAATGCTATCAGCAACTAATAAACAGGAGTTAAAGTGAAACTAACAATAAACCCTAGCTTATAACTTCCCTATGAGGGTAGGCATTCTGATCACCAGAGTCAAATATAATGCCTAGCCTATAGAAAGTAGCGCTTATTTAAATAAATGTTTACTGAACAAACTAAACACTTCCCAGGAACCACAGGATTCCTTAAAGGTCAACTTTTTATAGATGACAAAACAAAATTGAGGTGCAGAGATGATTTTAGCTCCTTTGCCGTGCCATTTTTGAGGCAATGTCTTTGTTGTCATGTCATGTACTATGTTGAGGGGTAGAACAGCATGGTTAAGAGCTCAGACTTTCTGCTTAGGTTCATATCCTGTTTTGCTACATACTTGCTGTATGACCCTAGGCAAATCACTTAACCTCTCTGTTCCTCAGTTGCGTCATCTGTAAAATAAGGGTATCTCACAGAGCTTTATAAAAACTAAATTAGTTAATACATGTAAAGCATTTGGAAGAGTTACAGGCATAGTAAGCATTTAATAATCAGCTATCCAAAATTGCTAAAGGGATATTTATTTCTGAATCTCTTTTTATCTATACAGCTCTCAGTTTTTCATCCTTGCGTCCCACCACACTTACTCAATGGAGAAGTTCTAATTCTCTCTATCTCACACAGAGACAGCAGTCCAAGAGAGGAGAGGACTGGCTCAGCAAGAGGGAAAATGCCCTCCACTAATGCCCTTAACACTTTCATTTTAAGGTTCATGATCTGGAAGAATCCTGTAATCCAGGAAAGGAGGAAGTTGTTGTTTCCTTCTACCCTCAAGGCCTAGCACAGACCCTGGACCACTACGTTTCCTGAGTGAATGAATGAACAAATGACATGGCTAGCTCAGCAAAGGTTATCCAGGCCACAGAGAAGCTTGGCGTCATGAGGGTTGGTCCTTTACTGTTCTCTCTCCCATTCTACAGATCTATTTATACAACTCTCTCTCCCACTGGTCAATGAATAAAGAAGACAGAATAAGAAATGATGCGTTTGAAATATCGTGCTGGTGAAGAATACTGAATATACCATGTACTGCCAGAAGAACGAACTAATCTGCCTTGGAAGAAGTCCAGCCAGAATATTCCTTAGAAGCGAGGATGATGAGACTTGTCTCCTATACTTTGGATATATTATTAGAAGGGGCCAGTCCCTGGAGAAGGACATGATGTTTGGCAGATGGTCAGCAAAAAAGATGAGAAAACGCTCAACGAGATGGACTGACGCAGTGCTGCAACGATGGGCTCAGACATCGCAATGATCGTGAGGACGGCGCAGGACCTGGCAGTGTTTCATTCTATTCTATAAGAGTCGCTATTGAATAGGAACTGATGAGACAGCGCCTAACAACTCTCCCACCAAGCTGCCAGGCCCACAGTAGGTATTCAGTAAAATGTTGCTGAATGAATAAATATTGATGATGATGTAACCTGGCGTGGCCCTATCACGGAAGCTGGGACTATTGGCAGTAGAGCTACTCACATGATGACAATAATTCGGGGGTACACAGCACAACTGTGTCCCTAACTCATAAAATGATTTAACATTCACTTCACGTAAGACAGGGATGATCTCACAAACTACTTTTCTTTCTAACAGATATATCCTTCTTTTCTTTAAAAGAGTCCTTCCTTTAAAAAAAAAAAAAGGTCTCCTTATAAAAAAAAATAAACACTGAAGGAAGTTCCTACGCTGGCACAAAGAAAATTATTACAAGTACTCATTAAATTCCACCATCGACAAATTGTTCCACCCAAATATAATAATGCTGCAGCTAAAATTAGGCGAGGTGGAGTGAAAAGAGCTGAGAGGGGAGAGATCAGGCCGCCAGCGGCTCACAAACTAACCCCAAGCTACCCTTGCCGTCCAGCAACGGCGCCAAACAGGCGACGCCACCGGCGCCATCCCACCCCGCAAGCTCCGCCCCTCGGCCCGCATGCGCACTTGGTCCGACGCGGCCTGAGGAAAATTCCTCTCACACGTCCACAGCGGCAGGCTCCTGTTTCTTCTCCTACCTTCTCCATTTTCTTAGTCCCTGCAGGTAGGATCCTAGGAATCAACTCCCTTCCCAACAAGCTCCAGAGAGTCCTTGTGCACCCGCTCACTTACCTCAGCGGGTTTGGCACTTTCCCCTATAGCCCCGCCCCCAGGGCCAGCCGGAGCGGCCACACTCCCAACGACGACGACGGCAGCGTGCTCGCGCCCGCGCGGAGGGAACTTGCGGCGGCGTTTGTGGCGTGCGCGCGCACGTACTGCGGTGGGCGTGGCCAGGGCGGAGAGGAGTAGTTGCGGGAACGCGCTTCCTGATAGCGCATCCGCGTCCTTTTTCTGCTGGTTTGGGTTTAGTTTGCCTGGCGCGGTGGTGTCTCGTTCCAGTCACTCGTTTTGTCTTAGTGATTTTTCTGCTAGCTTTTATAATTCAGAGCTTCAGCTTCCTCCTCGATATTACAGGCCCTCTGTTTTTCTCTACCTTTCCAAATCACCACGAAGCGGGGTTGATTATTCTCCCTCCTGAACAGTGGTAGCCGAAGGCCAGGCAGGAAAGGTAGATGATGAATTTGCTGTCTCTAAGGGCCTGACCTCAACTTTGGTGGAGCGCCTTCTGCTTTTTGGGAGAGGTCCTGGGGGAATAGTGCACTGGGGTGTAATGTTATTAAACTATTGCTAATTACGCCGCCCCTTTTCCCATCCAAATCGATTTGCCTTCTGTGTTGTTATTTCTTGCAACATGTAATCTCTTCTTGGTTCTTTAAGCAGGCCAACTACCAATTAAAGTGACTGACTTACTGAGGGTTGGACTGAGTATTAGTGTATTTGGTAAGGGTTGATCTGGTTTGTTTAGAAGTCTTAAGTGTTTTGGGCTTCAAGACTATCCAAGCTATGTGGTAGGAACATTGGTTGAACTTAACCACAACTAGCCTGTAAGGAACCCTTATTTCCTAAAATCTTGATTCTAAGCTTGGCTGCTCAGTGGGTAATGTACAGTTGTTGAGCAGTGGCCTACAGAAACTGTATTCCTATTCCACCCTTCAGAAATGTGTTGGTCTGAAGAACAGTTTTAAGTCATATTTCAACTGTTTTGACAGGCGACTGGTTCTGACTGGTAAATGTGTACCTCTATCATCATCATCCATTTGCTCTGGAGTCGATTCTGACTCATGGTGAGCCCATGTATCAGAGTAGATCTGTGCTCCATAAAGTTTTCAAAGGCTGATTTTTCTGAAGTACATCACCAGGCCTTTCTTAAGAGGTGCTTCTGGGTGCACTCAAACTGCCAACCTTCTGGTTAGCAGCCAAGCGCATTAACCATTTGTACCACCCAGGGGCCGTATAGCTCTAGCGCCTCCAAGACTACTTAAAACCTGATGCTATCGAGTCGATTCCGACTCATGGCGACCCTAAAGGACAGAGTAGAACTGCCGCATAGGGTTTCCAAGGAGCACCTGGTGAATTCGACCTTTTGGTTAGCAGCTGTAGCACTGAACCACTACGCCACGAGGGTTTCCTTAGGGGAAATTACTTCCAGACTCTTTTTTCCTCCAAAGAGAAGTTTATTAAACATCCCTAATTGTCTGAGTTACCATGCTGGTTAGAAAGGGTGAAACACTTTTTCACTTTGCAAACGGTTAGATAAATGCAGAAGGTTGCATTTTAGCCCCCTTAGATTAAAGTAATAAAGAGATCTCTATTTTTTCTTTCAAAGTCATGGACAGGCTGTATGTAAAGAGCTCAGCATCTTTTAATCAGCCTTTTTTGGGGGGGAGACTAAATAGTTTACAGATTACTTCCTGTAGAGAGTGAGCCAGGAATGGAATAGTGTGGTAGAAAATGCAGCAGCTGACCTAAAGCAGCTTACAGACGGGAAATCCAATGGAAATGGAATCCTGAATTGTCTTAAACGGTGCTGCTTTGTTTAGGATGTGCTGTGAGCTGATGCTCAATTGTGTCCTTTCAGGCCTACATGATGATCCATATACTAGAGAAAGGGTTTTTATTTCTGACTAAAGTGAAAGGTAAGGTGATAGTTTCTTTTTCAGGATTTCACTGGAATATTATTTGGAGAAAGTACCATGGATGTTCTGCGCCCACAGCTTCTAAGAATTGATGGACGAATTTACAGGAAGAATCCCATCCAAGAACAGACCTGTCAACATGAAGATGATGAGGACTTTTATGAAGGTAACCCTGGTTGCTCTTTGGTCAGATTGAAAGTAAAATGTACTCTGTATTGTAGGAGCAATTCTTTGTTTTGCTTCGATGTGTGTCTACGTCAGGTCAGCACCTAAATTTGAGGTATTTGACCTCTCACAGATCTGTTTGTGTTGATGTCTAAGAGTGCTGATATGTTTAAGTTTGAGGAGTTCTCGGTTGCAGTTCATACATCAAGTTATGTTTCATCTTTGCATAGAAACTTAAATTTAATAAGGGGTAATTTTAGTTGTTAACTATTATTATTCTGTGGTGAAATTAGTTCCTTTACTTGTAAAGTTGTGAAACAATATATATAAATTATTGAAATAAATTAATATATATAAAGCATTTAGTCCAGTGTCCAATAATGATAGCTATTGTTATTGTTGTATTGTTATTTTTCTCTCTCCTTTGCAGTCACATACAGGCAATTCCAAGTACAACTAACTTTATTATAGTGTAAACCAAAAACCCACTGCCATCAAGTAGATTCTAACTCATAGCAACCCCATAGGGTTTCCAAGGCTGTAAATCTCAGGGCAGCAGACCGCCACATCTTTCTGCATGGAGCTGCTGGTGGTTTCTAACTGCCAACTGGCAGTCTATCACTTTAACCTTATAGTGTAGGGATAATTTTAAGAAACTAAACAATTGAGATAGATGATAAATGTTTTCAGGTTAATTAACTTGGCCTTGGGTTTAATGCATAAACAGGGCCTTTTAGGTTCTCTGCTACCTTTTCTTTGGTTTATAAGCCTTTCCATCAGGCCCTAAACTTTGGGGGTTAGTCTTGCCTCTGGTCCTTCCCATTGTTTTCCTTCAGCCGTGGGGTCTTGAGTTCCTTTATTTCACCCTTCTTTTTCTCTTGTCTTTGTGGTGTGAAGTAAGTTCTCAGTATCGCTCCTTCATTCACTGAAGTAATTTTGTGTTTTAATACCAAAAACCACTGAAATATACACTTTAAAAGGGGGTTGGTATAGTACGTGAATTATATCTCAATAAAAAATTGGTAAAAAAATTTTTTTCATTGTGTCTCTGCTTTCTGAGAGAAAATTGTTAAATAGTGGTGTGTATATGCCACTTTCCAAATTTCCAAGACTGAAAGATTTAAAATAGATACTATGTGTTTTTTGTTCCTTTTTTTTTTTTTTTTTTAATTCTAAGAGCAGGTCAGAAGGATTATCAGAGCAGGATTTTGCAAGGTGAAATGTTGGGTTGTTCTTTGTGTGTGTATATTGCTTCTTTCAAACCCTGAAAGTGTCCGACAGCTGGGGAGAAGGCTGTTGTCCCCAGAGCAGCAGCTTCTGAAGGAGATGTTATGGTTTCTGTGCAGGCTCCATGGAATGTACAGAAGAGCCCTGTGAAGCCTATGTGGTGGTGCAGACCCAGCAAGGTTTCCAGTGTACCGTGAGGGCCCCCAGCCTGCTCTACAAGTAAGGCCGCCAGCTGCCTCATGTGGAGACACTGCCAGGAAACTCATCAAGAAGCTGATTCCTCTCTCTTCCACTCTTATTGAGATACTTGATTACTAATGATAAGATAATTTAGTGTTTTATGTCCTAGAATTTGTAAGGACTGATTGATTACAAGTTAAATTTTATCATTCCACATGTATCACTCAGTCCTGTGGTTTTTGCCTCATAAATACCTTTTGAATCCACCACTTATCTCTTTCTTTACTACCACCCCCCCACCCCCGCGGCCGCCTTCCCTGTGGATTACATCAGATAGCTTACTTACTGTCTCTCCACAATGATTTTTGCTCCCCTCCCAATCATTTCTTCACATTGAAGGTGGAGCGATCTTTTTAAAAGGCACATCTGATTATTTTACTATCTCTGCTTAAAATCTGCCAACGGCTTTCCATTGTTCTTAGAATAATGGCCAAAATCTTGCATGTGATTTAGAAGGCCCTGCATTTTTTTAGCCTCAAATCACAACACTCTTTCCCTGGCTTTATGCTTAAACCCAACTGGTTTTCCTCAGTTCCTCAAATAGGCCAAGCTCCTTCCTGCCTCAGAGCCTTCACAAGGTGCTGTTCCTTTGCCCTAGAATCTCTCGTTCTTCTTGCCTAGTTATGTCCTCCTTCCTCAGGGAAGCTTACTCTGACACCATCATCCCCACTGTATTAGATTCCTAGGGCTGCTGTAACAAAGCACCACAAAGTAGATGGCTTAAAATGACAGAAATTTATTGTCTCATAGTTCTGGAGGCAAGAAGTCCAAATTCATAAAGCTAAAAGATTGATAATTTCCTCTAGGTGTCTACAAATACAGACCTTTTACTGAAGTGCTTTTTGTACGGGAGTGTTTTTGGCCACATATGATTTAAACATGATGGGATTCTTTATTTTGGTACATTTTAAATTAATCTTCTTATGTTTATGAACTTTCCTTTATATTATAGGCATATAGTTGGAAAGAAAGGGGACACCAAGAAGAAACTAGAACTGGAGACCAAAACTTCTATTACCATTCCTAAGCTTGGACACGAAGGAGATATTGGTGAGACTCAGTATACATAAGTTACATTTGCCATCACGTTTGCACTTGTATGGAATAACGTAACCCAACTGAGGTGTTTAGTGACTATGTTTGTGGACTTCTGTAGCTATTGACCTTTTTAGGATATATTAGTATCAGTTTCTCAGAGCTAATAACCTTTTTATGATATATTAGTATCAGTTTCTCAGATGAGGAAAGATGTAGTTATGTAATTGATCTGTATTGAGTAGCTGGGCCTTCAGTTTATATTTTACCATGTACTGATAGAATAAAGCTTCCAGATTTCTCCATGTATTAGGAGATTTCTGCTTTGCTTTAGTAGCTTGAAATGGAGTGTGTGAATTGTTTCAAGATAGGATTAGAGAAAATGAGTGAGATGAGTGAATTTGGAATAAAGTTCAGCCCTTTCCATAAGTGTTCACTTAAGTGTTTTACCCTTGCTTTGGAGACCAGGAAGCAAGTTATAATAGTCATGATGAAAATAACTTAACCTGATTTAAATAACTGCTCAGATGAGAAAAAATAATTTGGTAGTATCAATCACGTTCAAAAGTCTCCTTAGCACGCATCAGTGTGGTCTAGGGGTAGAGCTTGTGTTATAAAATGGCTTGAATGAGAGGCACTGTAGGGACAAAATTTTAAAAAACTAGAACTATTGAAGTTTTTCAAAGTCAAAGAGTGCAGCAGCTCCAATAATCAATTTTCCATAAACACCAGTAAATTGTATTATGTTTTAGCAGAAAAAATTGCAAGTACCCTTCTAATTTTTTTGCTTTGTAAGAATGATCACTTTGATAGATAAATAGCAGTTGACTTTAGAGCAGTGCTATCCAAAAGAACTTTCTGTGATTGTGGAAATATTGTATATCTGCACTGTCTAGTATGGGAGCCATTTGCCACGCGTCGCTATGAGTACTTGAAATGTTCCTAGTGTGACTGAGGAGCTGATTTTTAAATTTTATTTAAATAGTTACGTGTGCCTAGTGGCTAGAGTTTTTCCTAGCCCCCAGGAAGGTCAGCAACTCTAGTACAAGAACTTTGACAATGCTTTTGAAGGACCTTTATTAAAATAGTCAGTCCATTAAACTTACAAGTACAAAAGCTTAAGTTTTTCATTAAGCTTCAAAGTTTGAGCTACAAATATTGAAGTAATTTTATTAAAGTTTATTTCTTTATCTAGTTATTTTCTGATTTTAAAAAGAATACATGCTTTAAAAAAAAAAAAAATCAAAGCTTACCAGAAATTATATATAAGGTATAAAGGGAAGTTTCTTGTAATCTCAACCCCAGACGTAATCACTGTTAACAGTTGCATATGTTCCCTGTTTTTCCTGTCCATAAACTAACACAAATAATAATTTTTATTGCAGTAAAGATTATAACATAGAGTAAACTTGGAGACCTTTACCATTTTAAGATACTGGAGCCATTTCAGAATTTATCCAGAAAAGGGTAGGCAAATTGTATAGGTCTCATTTTGATTTAGAATATACAATACTTTCAGTGTGAAAAACTAGTATGTCTAATTGTTAAAACCAAGAATTTAGTGGAACTGATTTAATTGAAAAGCAGGAGAATAAACCGACTTATAGGTGTCATAGATAAATATATAGAAAAATTAAATTTATTGGTTAGAGTAAATTAAGATGTTATGTAAAATCAAGACTGCAGTTGCTTGTATATTTGCTGTCATTTATTCACTTTCTTTTGGCTGTACTATTTTTGAGAAACCAGACAAGGCAATGAGCAAGTAGGCTCTATTTTGTCCTCTAGACAAGGATCTGGTCTAGTCTGTATTGAAGTCTCAGGCAGTGGGATGTCAGGAGAAGCTTTCAAAAGTATGCTGTCACTGCAGATAGGGAATTGGTTTTTTAAAGTTTAACACAAATGCGTTTAATTATTTTCTTCCTGGATATTCCTTGTTGTAGTTCTTAGACCCACGCCTCATAGTTTCTGGCCCTCTCGGATGTTTGTAGTTGTAGACTGTCTAAGCTCAGTCATATTTGCTCTTTAGTCCTGTTTGATCAGCTTTGAATTTTTTCTGGAGATCAGTCTCTCTGAGCACCTTTCAAGTGCCCTTTTCAGGTTTCTGTGTTACAGAAATGAAAACATCTTACTAGTGGTCTTCTCTATTAGACCACATTCTTAATGAAAAATAACAAATTTAACATTTTACACCAAACTTTTACAGAAATAAAACATAAATAATGAGTTTTAAGTGTTTTTTGTTTTTTCCTTTTCGTTTTAGATTATCACGAGATTTTTGGTCTCTGGCAGAGATGATTATAGTTTCTCCTTTCTTTTAATTTTTTCTTCGTTTACCTTTGAACACTCCTTTATCAGTATTTCTCTAGCACAATATTTGAGCACAAAATATAATCTAGTAGGTTATATTTTGTGCTCTAGACAACAATCTACTGTGGATATTTCCATTCACTGGCATTTGAGCCTTTTGAGTTCTCGAAGTATTCTTTCAGATAATATAAATAGTATCATCAAAAACATCATTAGCTCCACTTTCCCCCTTTTTTACATTTTATGGTTGTTAGTTTTTTCACTTCAGCAGACATTTCTCAGGCCTTCTATTAATCCATTCATTCATAATTTATTTCTTTTCCTAGAAATTTCCATTTCGTTTCTCTCCAACAAAAATGGATATAATACTTTCATTGTTATCAAGGGATAGTGTGAAACGGAAAGGTGGTTCTTACAGAAAATTTCAAGTGCTTTCGTGGAAATTTGTAGGACAAATAAATGGAATTATTTCGTTTAGTTCTGCAGTGATCATAACTAGAAGGAAGAGGCTTTGTGGTTTTTATATAGCACACCTTACTACTATTATAGTTGGTACTTCAGTATGTTATATCATATTCGGAAGTCTGTTCTTTCCTTTTTAATAAATAGTATATTGAAATGCTGATTTTGATAATTGTTCATATTTTCTCTACCTTTTCTGAGTTTCTGTTTTGAACCAAGCCCTGCCATTTCTACAACCTGGAGGTTTAATTTCTGTTTAAACAGAGATTGTGTAACCCTTAACTGGTTTTGTTTTTTGCAGATAGTGGTCCAGACTTTGTGGCTCTTTTTCCTACTTTCATTTATTTATAAAGACATAGCCCTGATAAAAGAAAGCCAGATGACACCTAAACATGGGAATTTGATATCCATAAATGTAATGTGGATATAGATAAACATTTTTACTTAACTTTGACTTTGTTTTCATACACAGAATAGGATTAGATTGTAGTATACTCTCCTTTGCTCTTTTACTATAGTGAATTACTAACAGTTTATGCCACAATGTTTTTTTATTTGAGGTAAAATTCACAGAATGTAAAGTTCACCATTTTTTTGCTTTTAAGTAATTTTTTATCATTTTATTTTCTTTGCAGTGGTTGTTTTTTTTTAATTCCCATATAAGAATTTATGCATACATTGTTATGTGACTCTAATTGCTCTCCCCATCCTGTGACAGCACACTCCTCCTTTCCACACCTGGATCCCCATGTCCATTCAACCAGCTTCTAACCCTGTCTGCCTTCCCATCTCACCTCCAGACAGAAGTTGCCCGTTTGGTCTCTTGTATCTACTCGAGCTGAGAGGCACACTCCTCATGAGTATCACTTTACGTTCCACAGTCCAGTCCAATCCCTGTCTGAAGAGTTGGCCTCAGAAATTGTTTTAGTTCTGGGCTGATAGAGAATCCAGGGGCCACGCCTTCCGGAGTTCCTCCAGTCTCAGTCAGACCATTAAGTCTTGTCTTCTTACTAGAATTTGAGTTCTGCACCCCACCTTTCTCCTGCTCCATCTGGGACTCTCTGTTGTGTTCCCTGTCAGGGAGGTCATTAGTGGTAGCCGGGCACCATCTAGTTCTGGTCTCAGGCTGATGAAGTCTCTGGTTTATGTGGCCCTTTCTGTCTCTTGGGCTACTACTTTCCTTGTGTCTTTGGTGTTCTTCATTCTCC